CCCTCCCATTATCCAACTCGTGTGTTGTCTACAGCCCCCAGAGTCAGAGACGATTGCTAGTCCAGCTCCGGCCACCCAGGCTATGCCGGTGGAGGTACAGGAGGAGGAGATCACTATACATATCTTACGCTCCCCGGGACAGGGGCTCGGCATCAGCATCGCTGGAGGGAAGGGTTCGACGCCCGTCAAGGGAGACGATGAGGTGAGTCGGTTGTTACAAGAAATGAGAGTGGGTGTTTGTGTATAACAGACAGACAGGGAAGGAGGGGAGGGTTTGATGCCCGTCAAGGGAGACGATGAGGTGAGTCAGTTGTTACAAGAAATGAGAGTGTGTGTGTGTAACTGACAGACAGGGATGGAGGGTAGGACAGAGAGGGGAGGGTTTGACGCCCGTCAAGGGAGACGATGAGATGAATCAGTTGTTATATGAGAGTGGGTGTGTGTGTGTGAAAGACAGAGGGAGGAAGGGAAGGGTAGATAGAAAGGGGGTAGAGGTGGGAGGAGAGAGTGGGAGAGAGGGAAGGGTTCGACAGCCGTCAAGCGAGACGATGAGGTGAGTCAGTTGTTTTACTAAATGGCCGCTTTTAAGGACAAGCGGGCTAACCCACATTTTTGGGGGTTTCTAGAAATCTTTACCTACACCGACTCACACCAAAAATGGGCATTGTCCTACCTATAGGAGAAGTTTGGTTTCATTGGTGTGTATATTTGTTTGGTTATAGAGAAAACTCTCCTTGCCCTTTATAGAAACTGAACAAGGGGCGCAAACTTTACCTTCGATTTTCTCAAAACAGTATTTTTGGGGATAGCCCCTTGTGCTTAAAATCGACCAAATGAGAGTGTGCGTGTGTGTGTGAAAAGCAGAGGGAGGGAGAGGTAGATATAAAGGGGATGGGGGTGGGAGGAGAGAGTGGGAAAGAAAGGGAGACGATGAGGTGAGTCGGTTATACCAAATGAGAGAGTGTGTGTGTGTATGTGTGTTGAAGGCAGAGGAAGGGAGATGTAGATAGAAAGGGGGTGGAAGTAGAGAGCGAGAGATACTGAGTTTAGGGGGGGGTGGCCTTGAAGCACCTGACTGTTATCTTTCTGCAGCATGGAAAATGTTAATGTTTTGTTAGTTGTATTTGATGAAAAATATTTGGGGGGAATGCAGACACGCACACACACACACGCCCACACACACAGGCGCACATACAACCATACACTTTGACCCTGTGCCCAGACACTAGACTGGGAAGTGGGAATGAACAAAGTATCAAGATGTGCACATGTCAAGATGTCCTCATGGTTTTCTCCCATCTCTCTGACCTCCAGAGTATCTTCATCTCTCGCGTCTCGGAGGATGGACCCGCCGGGAAGGCTGGCATCGTCAAGGGAGACAAGTTGTTGAAGGTGAGGGCTAGAGTTGTCCTTTCGTCGCAACATTGTACAAGACCAAGTACTTTCCTAAATGTCCCCAAAATCTGGATACTAACAGATAGCATTTGTATAGTGCAAATCCCTGCTCAGCAGCAAGCTCTATGTGCTTCACAATCTGTACTAGATGTATCCACAATATGATCCATAAATTTTGAGTCCCGGTATGCACATTTTCAGTCAAAAAAGTTCAGGAGGGGGTGAAATGATCACTATTAAAACTACATTCTTTGTATATTTGGAAAGCGCACTGAGCACTTTTGTAGTGAAAAATGTGCTGTGTAATAGTAATTTTCATTTATTATTGACAAATATAATTCTCTATTTCATAGCCAGTTGTGTTGGTGGTTGGCGGGTGCTCTTGTGTGGTTTGCTTCTTCTTTCCTATCAAACATCTGTCGTCTTTATCTCCCCTCCTTCTTTTTTGTACTATGTTACTTTCCTGTAACACCTCTAATCTTTGGCACTTTTATGACCTTATTGTGTTGCAAGTGTCGTAAAACTCTTACTAAAACTAAATAAATAGCCCGTTGTTTGTTTGTTTGTTCGGTGGCCAGGTGAATGAGGCCAACCTGGCAGAGGCAGACCACTACGAGGCTGTCAACGTGCTCAAGAACAGCGGCAACGACATCACCATGCTGGTGGCACGAGAGAGGCTGCTGGCCAACGCACACGCTGAGGTTTGTACTCGATGGGAATGCTGGGAGGTTGCTTTGGTAGAGGGTTTACGGCGCTCGTAACTGCATGAGGTCATAGGAGCGCCAACGGGTGGATGTCTACAGAGGAGTCCTTACAAGAAATCAAACTTACTCTGCTCACCTCTCTAGCTTCCGCAGGGCAGTCTGCTTTGACTATCAAGGCACCCTGGAAATAACGGCCGGAAATAGCGGATCACAAGAGTGTGACAAACATACAAAAGAAGTAGAGGAAAATGACAATAGTAAGGATTAGGAAAGAAAAAGCAGCAGTTCCCTGTTGCAGTTCAGGCACAGTTATGATCACGACATTGATAAATCAGCCCATTTACAATTACAATTCTACTGTGCATAAGAACTCGAGATGTTAATGTCCCCCCCCCTGGGAATGGCCTAAAGACACTTCAGTCAGTAGCACCACCCTGGGGGGTTATGCAGGGAGGGGCTGGGCTGTTTCAGAGGTGCTATTTCGCTACCTCAGTATTACAAAGTTCTATCTGACATTTGTGGTCGTTTTGAGTTACTTAGACCATGAAGTCAGAAACCGCTCATATGACCTTATGCAGTTGCGAGCGCCGTAAAACACGTATCCCCCCAAAAAAGAAGTCAGAAACCAAATGTGCTCTCTCAAAGTCGTAAGATTATTCGGAGTCATTATCAAGATATTATTGGGAGAAGCTTGACATAATGAGAAACTCAAAATGTTTGATGTCAAATTTCTCAAAAATAAGTACTGAGCAGATAGAACTTTGTGGTTCTGAGGTAAAGAATCGGCTTAATATATCAGATATCCAGATGTTTTGATAAATGGGAAATCCGGATTATCCGGACATTGCACTAACTGCACTATTTACAAATATAGTCTTGATACAAGAGCTGGCCTACCATAGATAACTGCTTCTCTCCTCGACACTTAACAGCAACAGAGGATGAAAAAGTGAAAGAAAGTCGTACACAATATGACTTTGAGTCCCAGCATGCATGTTTTCATGGGGGCGGAAAAGTTCAGGACTTTTTCAGTCTCTCTGCCTTGGGTTGGGCCAGTATTTCTTTCTAAGTGGTGGGTGGTTGGTGGGTGCTCTGGTGTGGTTTACTACTTCTTTCCTATAAAGCATCTATTGTCCTTATCTCCTCTTTTTCTTTTTTGTGTTTGTTACTCTCTTGTAACACCTTTAGTCTTCTGGCACTTATGTGACCTTATTGTGTCGCAAGTGCTGTAAAACTCTTACTAAAACTAAACTAAAAATAAATATTTATTGTTCTGTTGTGGTTGGTGCAGGCGTCTGCGGTGGAAGACAGCACCCACACCGGCGAGACAACCGTGTCCTTCACCACTGAGCCGGAGACTGAGGTCTACGGAGAGGTGAGTTGTCGTTGGTGGTGGTGGTGGTGGTTTTGTTGTTGTCGCTGGTTGCATACCTGCCAACCCTACAGAAAAAATCGGTATATTACCGACTTTTTGGTCAAACTGCCGATCCACCGATTTTGAGATATAAGCCACCGACAAGTGCCCTCCATGTCTTCTGTATTGCTGTAAAATTTCAGATCTTTGTGTGTAGTGGGCCTCCACTTTACGTACCAATTAAAAATTACCACCCATTCTTTGATAAAACACTAGAGCTGAAAACTAGATCAGGGACCCAACACGCGAGTTGCCGGCATGCAAGAGGCGCGTGATCGCAAGGTGGCATGTGATTGACAGCCTAAAACCAGGGGGTTTTACAGTAATTCAATGTTTAAAACTGCTAGAACTAAACAGGTTACCAATGACGTCATTGCGGGTTTTCCCGATACTGCTTTGCTGAGGTGTAGAGCGGTGATGGGCCACAGTTCAAGAAACGTCCCACTTCTTGGCAATATTTTCCTATAAAGTCCCCCAAAATTTTGAAACAAAAAATCCCAATAACTTTTTAAAATTTATGAATGGATTTTTAAAATTTAAAAACCACAATTCTTAGAATTAAATTTTTCATTGTTATTGCTAATTTTTATTTTTTGTTCTTTTGTCAATTTCTACATTTGTTTGAAGTCACAAACACACTCATGTATGTGGGTCAAAATATTGATAAAGGTCCCCAATTAAGTATGCAGCAAGTGGTAATATAGCCTACTACAGATTTTTTAGGTCAACTACAGATTTTTTGACAAAAATTTGTGTCAACTACAGATTTTGGTCCAGGTAATGTTGGCAGGTATGTGGTTGTTGTTGGTGGTTGTTGGTGGTTTTGTCATTGTTGTTGTTGTCGTCGCTGTTGTTGGTGGTGGTTTTGTCACCGTTGTTGTTGTCACTGTTGTTATTTGATCCTTCTTTCCTATCAAACGTCCTCATCTCTCCTTCTTTCATGTATTTGTTACCCTCTAGTCCTCTAAACTTTGCCGCTTTTATGACCTACTTGTCTTGCAAGTTCCGTTAAACTGTTACTAAACAGAGTCTGTGGGGTTTTTTTTTTGGGGGGGGGGGGGGGGGGAGGGGGTTTGACTAATTATTATCAGCCTCACAACACAATAACTCTGTTGTCCTGTTGTCCTCACAATAACTCTGTTGTCCTCACAATAACTCTGTTCTCCTGTTGTCCTCACAATAACTCTGTTGTCCTCACAATAACTCTGTTCTCCTGTTGTCCTCACAATAACTCTGTTGTCCTGTTGTCCTCACAATAACTCTGTTGTCCTCACAATAACTCTGTTCTCCTGACAATAACTCTGTTGTCTCGGTTTCCGCAGACGGTGAGCACGTCCCTGGTTCGCGACCACACAGGCCTGGGCTTCAGTATAGCCGGAGGTCGCGGCTCCGTGCCTTTCAAGGGCAACGACAACGTGAGTCTCTTCCTCTTCTCACCTCACCCACCACCACAAAATGTTTCACGGTTTTGGTTTCTTCTTTCTCTCTCTTTAAGTCTTGACCCTCCCTCCCTCCCTCCCTCACTCCCTCCTTCCCTTTTCTCTTTTTTTTGTCAGGCGAAGGTGGTGATATATAAGTGTGTGTGGCGGCTACATCTGTCTGTGGTTTCCTGGCTTGACTCTGTGTTGGGTGTCTGTTTCCTCGGTAGTTGTGATTCGGTCGTCTTTTTTACTGTGTAATGAGCTATCCAGATTTAGGAAAGTACTGCTTAGTTTTGTTGCCCGATTGGATTATTTTCTTTTTAAAAAAAATACCCTAAATTCTTCAGTGGTTGGAAAGTAGCCAGGTTTGTTGGTCCGAAGTCGGATGATGTATTTTCTTAAAACTACCCGAAAATATCTGACATTATTTGACATCTTACACTACAAGATTTCGACTGCTGTTCCTGTCTTGAAATGTATATTCATATATACATATTTTATATCTAGCAAGGTAAAGATATGTTAGAAAGATTTTAAAAAGTGGTCCTATTGTGTTGGCTGTTCTGCTTTGCATGCTTCATTTATTGAATATTTATAGGACATATTTATCTGCAATGTGATGGGTATTGTAAATAGATCAATTGGTTTGTTTGCAAAGAAGAACATACATATTATGTATCGTATAAATTTCCCATTAATCCTTTCTAAAATTTCGCTTGGTTTATTTTTTTTACTAGAATCATGAGGGTTTAAAGTACTTTGTTTCAATTGTATGCAGTTATGGAATTTTTTTCTTAAAATCTTCTTGGATGCTATTAAAAAATTTGATGCAGATGGATAGAGGGTGGCACTAGTAGTTCCCCCTTTACAGGTTTTGTTTGTCTGTCTGTCTGTCTGTCTTTCTTTTTCTAATGCTAAATGAAATGATCTATATTTAATATTACATACACACAGATTCTAGCAGTGGGTGATAGGCAGGTGTTCTTGTGTGGTTTGCTCCTTCTTTCCTATCAAACATTTATTATCATTTTCTCTCCTCCTACTTTAGTTCATATATCTCTTGTAACTCCTCTAATCTTGGGCTAATTGTGTCGCAAGTGCCATACAAAAGTTCACTACAAGTTAAAATACACACAGACGCAGACTGTAGCAATGCAGATGGTTAGAGGGCATCACTGGTAGGTCTAACTTCTTTTCTTTCTCTCTGTTGTTTCTGTCTGTTTGTCTGACTTCCTTATTTTTTTCCCTGCAAAAAATAACAGTTATTGTGTGAGCGTGGGTGGTTGGCGGGTGCTCTGGTGTGGATTGCTCCTTCTTTCCTTTCAAACATCTATTGACCTTTTCTCTCCTCCTTTTTTTTGTGTATGTTACTCTCTTGTAACACATCTATTCTTCGGCACTTATATGACCTTATTGTGTTGCAAGTGCAGTAAAACTTACAAAAACTTAAGTTATTGTGTGAATGCGCTTCTGCTAACTCATACAAGCAAACTGTAGCGAGTGGTTGGCAGGTGCTCTGGTGTGGTTTACTTCTTCTTTCCTATAAAACATCTATCCTCCTTATCTCCCCTTTTTCTTTTTTATGTTTGTTACTCCCTTGTAACACCTCTAATCTTCTGGCGCTCATATGACCTTATGCAGTTGCGAGCGCCGTAAAAACTCTACTAAACTAAAAACTGTAGCGATGGTTGGAGGAACACATTATGATGTTCTTTCTGTCCCCCCCACAAACATTTCCCTTCCAGCAGGTGTACAATTTATTAGAGGTTGGTATGAGGAGGCTGGATGAACGACAAGTCCCTTGTTCCCTCCTTTCTGTCCCCCCCTTTTCTCTTTTGTTCTTTCTCTCTTCCAATAAACTACTGTCTCTGACTAACATAGTGGATGCATCGTGGACAAGAAATCCTCTCCAGTTTTCTAGCTTTCTGTGCTCATGAGTAGCCAGTCGGGATACAAGAAAAAGGACCAAAGTGCATGAGATTATGAGGAACTTTAAAACATTTTTTTTTTTTTAGCCTTTTGAGATTTTTGTAGATTTTCGTCAAAGTGTAATTATGTGTGGTTAAATTTACATAGTAAATAATAGATAAATAGTGAATACTAGAACTTAAACTCTTACAGTACGCAAGGGCTTCCACAATTTTACCCACCAAATTTGAGGTGGCGAAGGGTGTTGTTGCTTTTTTGTATTTAGATGGAGAACTGCTATGTTAATTTTAATAAAAATAGGTAGTCAACGTAGCACAGGATCAGGTTTGTGAGGGACAGCTAGATCAAGAACTTGAAAACACTCTAAGGCTGGTCAGATTCCAAATCATTGCAGGAATTTTTCTCACTTTTATCTAATTCAACGCCAGACACTTCACCGCTGTCACTTTCTTGAACTAGGGTTTTTTGTTTTAAAAAAGAAAAAAAAAGTTTTCAAGGCTCTTAACCCATTTGGCTGGGTCCTGTCAGAAATAGATATTACTTCTGTAGGACTCAGCAACAATTCTAAGAAACACACTTAAATTCACTCGCACACACCAAAATTATCTCCTGTTGTCAGTGTTCTAGTGACCGTCCTTACGGGTTTGGTGTATTAAATAGTACAGGGAATGGGAAACTTAGCTGATAAATCGGGACATCCAGATTTCTGAAATTATCCACATATTGTGCTTGTTGAATAAAGATATTATATATAGTCTTGATACGAGATGTATTTAACATTATGATACCTAAATTTTGAGTCTCTGTATTTCCATGAGGTCCGAAGAATTCAGGATTTTTTGTGTTTTTGTAGATAGTTGGCAACATTTTTTTTGGTGAGAAGCAGAATATGTCTGCTGGAACTCTTTTATCTCTGCATGACGATTGAGTGATAGGACCTGGCTACCCATCTGTGCACGCACTCTCTCTATGTGGCCCTGACCTTCTCCTGTTGTGTGCTCGTAGTTTCAGTGAACAACAAACCCCCCCCCCCCCTCACCCTGTGGTTTTGTTGAGTCGTATGTCTTCTTTTTTATATGTTTTGTTGTTTTCTTGTATAAATATCCCCATCACCATTGTTACGTTGTTTTTGTTTGTGGATTTTTCTTTTTTCATGTTTTTTAAACATTTTTTTTAGTTGGATGAAATTTGAGCTGAGTTGTGTTAAGTGTTTTGGCGCCTGTAAATGGCTGCTTGTCAGGAAGATGAGATTGTTTTAGAATGCTATCAGGTCTGCTGGGGCAATAATACAGATTGTAAAGCTCGTAAAGCTTGCTGTTGTTCGGGAATTAGCGCTGTACAAATGCTATTTATTATTTATTATTATTACGTTGTCTCCATTTGCAAATTTTTTCTAATTGACGAGACAATTGGCATTGAGTCAAGAGTTAATTAGTGCAGGACACAGCCACTGTCCCAGCCTGAATTGGCACTTAAATGACCCAAATTGAGTCGATAGTGCCGTAAAACACCTACTCAATCAATCAATCGATCAACCAGCCAGAATACTGCCCAGGCAGCGGAGAATGTTGTTTGGAAAATGTTGTGGGGTCTTTCAGGGTTAAAGTGAAGTGCTTAGAGGGATACACATCGAATAGATTCAATATTTTATTATTATTTCATATATATAAATGAAGTCTGTTATTATTATTATTATTGTTATTATTATTATTATTATTATTTTTGTTGTTATTATTATTGGCGCTCATACAACCGTATGCAGTTCAGTTGCGAGCGCGATAAAACCTACTAAAACTAAAACTAAATTATTTTATTATTATTATTATTATTATTATTATTATTATTATTATTATTATTATTATTATTATTATTGTTATCATCATCATCATCAGTTATCATAGTGCTGGTTGGTGACATGCCACAACTTCCCCTCAGCTCAGGTTTCCTAGTTTGTGTTCAGTCGTGTGTTGAGTGAGCATGTACGGAGCATGTGTTGGGCATGTGTTGGGCATGTGTTGGGCATGTGTTGGGCATGTGTTGGGCATGTGTTGAGTGAGCATGTGTTGGGCATGTGTTGGGCGTGTGTTGCGCATGTGTTGAGCATGTGTTGGGCATGTGTTGGGCATATGTTGAACGTGTTGGGCATGTGTTGAGCATGTGTTGAGCATCATGTATTGATGTTGTCTCCTTTGTAGTGACTCTGTTGTTGTGACTGTAGTAGACTTTATTGTTGCTGGTACAGTAAACCTCTTCCCCTGTGTTGATGACTGCTAGGTCTCAACTTTGGCACTGGCTGGGTGGTTAGAGGGCGCCACTGGTACATGCTACTTCTTCTCTTTTCTTCCTACGGTTGTTCCTGTCCCTTTGTGTAACTGTCTGTCGGTCTGTCTGTCAATCTGCCTGTCAATCTGTCTGTCAGTCTGTCTGCCGATCTGTCTGTCAGTCTGTCTGTCGATCTGTCTGTTACATGCGGAAGGTTGCTTCCTTCTAGCCCGGGTTGGTTCCAATAGGCAGGATCAAAATCAGTCTCCTAAAAGACCTAAATTGTGTCGATGGAGGTGTAAAGACACTCACATTTAAAGAATTACTTTTCCTTGGCACAAACAACCCATAATGTGCATGGGTGCAGACTGCAGTTCCTTGAAGAAAAGAAAGGTAGTTACTGGTAGATAATTCTCCAATACAAGTTGTTTTTTAAAATACGTTATTATGTATTTGCATACAGCAGGTGCATGGCTTCACCTGACAAAGATATTGCTCTTATGATTGGTTTGTTATTACAAATGTAAGGGGCTTGATGGTAAATTGGGGAAAGGGATGGGAGAAATTTGGATGATTGTCAGGGACATTAGAGTTGTGCACAGTGACAGTGATATGATAGACAGTCTGCATTAGTTTCTGAAGTTATTACTCATTTGATTGATAGGGTTTTGTGCACAGTGACAGTGATATGATAGACAGTCTGCATTAGTTTCTGAAGTTATTACTCATTTGATTGATAGGGTTTTGTGCACAGTGACAGTGATATGATAGACAGTCTGCATTAGTTTCTGAAGTTATTACTCATTTGATTGATAGGGTTTTGTGCACAGTGACAGTGATATGATAGACAGTCTGCATTAGTTTCTGAAGTTATTACTCATTTGATTGATAGGGTTTTGTGCACAGTGACAGTGATATGATAGACAGTCTGCATTAGTTTCTGAAGTTATTACTCATTTGATTGATAGGGTTTTGTGCACAGTGACAGTGATATGATAGACAGTCTGCATTAGTCTCTGAAGTTATTACTCATTTGATTGATAGGGTTTTGTGCACAGTGACAGTGATATGATAGACAGTCTGCATTAGTTTCTGAAGTTATTACTCATTTGATTGATAGGGTTTTGTGCACAGTGACAGTGATATGATAGACAGTCTGCATTAGTCTCTGAAGTTATTACTCATTTGATTGATAGGGTTTTGTGCACAGTGACAGTGATATGATAGACAGTCTGCATTAGTTTCTGAAGTTATTACTCATTTGATTGATAGGGTTTTGTGCACAGTGACAGTGATATGATAGACAGTCTGCATTAGTTTCTGAAGTTATTACTCATTTGATTGATAGGGTTTTGTGCACAGTGACAGTGCTTGAAATGTCCTTACGCCTTTGCTTTGCTCTTGGTTGCTCCTTCTTAACACAGGAGGTAAAATCTTCAGTGGTTTGTGGATGGTTAGCGGGTGCTCTTGTGTGATTTGCTCCTTTTTAAAAAATCAAAATTCTGTCGTTTTTATTTCTCTTCCTTCTGTCATTGGATGCTGCTCTCTAGTAACTCCTGTAATCTTTAGCACTTACGTGACCTATTTAATTTGTGTTGCAAATGCTGCAGAACTCTTAACTTAAACTGAACTGAAAGCAGTTTTATTTCGCAGCAGTTAAAGAGACCAAAAATTTAAACAGAGACCAAAAAGTTAAACAGAGAGAAGATTTCTTAAGGACTTTTTTCTTAGTATTTTCTTTTACTTTTGAGTGGGTCAGTGCAGAAGCCCTTGCGCTCACCTTGACATCTTGAATGGCTTTGAGACGGGTGCTGTATAAATACACTTGTTGTTGTTATTATTGTTACTGTTGTTATTGTAATTATTATTGTTGTCGTAATTTTTTAAATTATTTTATCATCATCATTGTTATTATTATTGTCATTGTTGTTATAATAATAATAATTATGATAATTATTATTATATCATTTTTCTTGGTGTTATGCATTTATTTATTATTTATTATTATTATTAATAATATTATCATTATTACTATGGTTATTATTATTATTATTATTATTATTATTATTATTATTATTATTATAATCATCATCATGACATCACCATTGTGTTGTTAATTTTTTATTATATCGTCATTACCACTTCCATTATCATCTTTGCCATTGTTATTCTTCCTCTTGTTTTTTTGTTTTTTTTGTATGGTTGAATGACACCACAGTCTTGTTGTCCTCAGGCCATTTACATATCAAAGGTCACGCCGGGCGGGACTGCCGACAAGGACGGGGTCCTCCAAGTCGGGGACAGGATTGTGTCTGTAAGTTCTGGAATCTGGGTGGTGGGACGGTGCTCTGGTGTGGTTTGCTCCTTCTTTTCTATGAAACGTTTGTTGGTCTTGTCTCTCCTCCTTCTTTTTTATGTTTGTTACTCTCTTGTAACACCTCTAATCTTTGGCACTCATATGACCTTTTCGTGTTGCAAGTGCTGTAAAACCCTTATTGTGCGTGCTCTGGTGTGGTTTGCTCCTTCTTTCCTATCAAACATCTGTTGTCCTTATCTCTCCTCCTTTTTTGTGTTTGTTACTCGCTTGTAGTGGGTGGTTGGCAGGTGCTCTGGTGTGTTTTGCTCCTTCTTTTCTATGAAACGTCTGTGGTTCTTATCTCTCCTCCTTCTTTTGTTGTGTTTGTTACTTGCTCTTAACACCTCTAATCTGCAGCACTTGTATGACCTTATTGTGTTGCAAATGCTGTTAAACTCTTACAAAAACTAAACCAAAAGTTCTGGAGCTTTGAGCTCTCTGGCCGTTCTGTGGGTGGGTGGGTGGTCAGAGGGTGCCTCTGGTAGGTCTGGCTTATCTCTCCACTGTTTCTATCTGTATTAGGTCTTGAGACTATCAGTTGGAAGATTGCTCTTTGGTGGTTGCTTTGGTGTGGGTTGCTTTTTACATTTTTTTTTTATCAAACATCTATTTTTCTATCTCTCCTCCTTTTTGTGTATGTTACTTGCTTGTAACTCCTCTAATCTTTGGCATGTGGGTGGTTGGTGGGTGCTCTGGTGTGATTTGCTGCTTTTAAAAAAAATCAAACATCTATTTTTCTATCTCTCCTCCTTTTTTGTGTATGATACTCTCTTGTAACACATCTAATCTTTGGCCTTTATATGACCTTTTTGTGTTGCAAGTGCTTTAAAACCCTCATTGTGGGTGCTCTGGTGTGGTTTGCTCCTTCTTTTCTATGAAACGTCTGTGGTTCTTATCTCTCCTCCTTTTTTTTTGGTATATGTTACTAGCTTGTAACATCTCTAATCTTTGGCATTATTATGACCATATTGTGTCGCAAGTGCCGTAAAACTCGTACTAAAACTAAACTAAACTGTGTCCCC